TTGTTGGTCTTGCAAATATTCAGTATCGTTTCTGTTACCAAGGCCATATTTTCCAACTACTGATGCTTCTTTGTTTCCAACTTTCACATTCCAGTCACCAGTAATTATCAATGCATCTTGACTGCATGTTTGATTGATTTCAGACTTCAGAAGTTGGTAAAAATGATTAAAAAAATCTTCAATTTCTTCATCTTTGGCATTAGTGGTTTGTTTGTAAATTTGAATAATAGTCATATTAATTGGTTTTCTTGTAGGTGCATGGATATTAGCCTATTACCGACAGTGTTGTATTTCAGGATAGATGTTGAAATATTCTTTTTGACAGTGAATGCAAAACCATTCCCCTTCAGTTTGCCATTTCTGGCATAGTAGGCCATATTATTGTCTGATTTAAAATGGCCAGTAACAGTGCATTTCAGCTTAGTAATGCCTAGGATAACTATCTTTGTGTATTCCATTTCATTTTTGATGACTTCCAGTTTTCCTAGATTCATGCTTCATACATTCCACTTTACCTAAGCATGGCAAAAATTCTGTGTCACTTGGTAAATGGATCTTCAATTTCCTAATTGTGTTGTTGTTCTTGTTATGTGCCATTGAGTCGGACCCAACTCATAGCAACCCCTCCTTGGGTTTCCAAGGTGGTATCACTATGGAAGTGAATTGCTCAACCTTCCTAACAGGGAGTGGCTGGTGGGTTTGAACCTCCAGCCTTCTGGTTAGCAGTCAAATGCCTTAGGCACTACGCTACCAGAGCTCCCTCCTAGTTGTGTTAGAGTCTACCAGTTTACACTTAGGGAGCTCTGGTAGCATAGTGCCTAAGGCTCCATCCCACCCAGTGGCTCTGCAGGCGAAAGACCTGGTGATCTGCTTCTATAAAGATTACACTTAAGAAAACCCGGTGGGGCAATTCAACTTTGTCACATGGGGTCACTATAAGTTAGGATCAGTTTGACAGCACTCAACAACAAAAACCAGAACATGCTGTCTTTTATGGAATAGAGTTCTTAATTTTAAATAATCTTGTGGCACTGTGGTTAGAGCATTGGGCTGGTAACTTAAAGCTTGGCAGTTGTCTGTGGGAAAAGATGAGGCAGTCTGCTTCTGAAAAGATTTACAGCCTTGGAAACCCTCTGTGGCACTTCTGCTCCATCTTACAGAGTAACTATGAGTTTGGATCAACTCGATGACAGTAGTTTTGATTTTATAATTTGTGTCTTACTAAAGAACTTTCTTCAATCCCAAAGTCATAAAGATATTCTTCTATATTTCATTTCAGAAGTTTTATAGTTTTGCCTCTATTTTACCCTTTATACATCTAGAATTGATTTTTTGTGTTTGGCATGAGCTAGGGATCCAATTAATTGCCCATTACCAATTCCCCTCTAAAGGAAAAAGCTGGCTCTTTCTTTTTCTGCTCTTGTAAGTTGTATGTTCCTACACTTTATTAAGTACTTTAAAATAAATAGTAGTAGCTGGAAGGTCAAGACTCACCCACCTTACTCACTCACACACACACACATCTTGATAATAATTTTTTTTAGGATTTCAGCTTTTCTTGACCCTTTGCTTACCTATATAAATTTTGGAATCATCTTGTCAAGTTCCACAACATCTATGTTAGAAATTTTATTGAAATAGAAATCTACATTGATCTTTAATCGGTTTGGCAAGAATGATACTTGCAAATTGAGTCTTCTAGTTCATGAAGATTCATTTAGTTAGGCTTATTAAATGTTTTTCAATAAAGTTTTTAGTTTCTTCCTAAGGTCTTACACAACTTTTGTTAAATTTATTCTTGGACATCTTATTTCTGATACTTTTCTAAATCACATCTGTGTTAGACTGGGTTCTCAAAAGAAGCAAAATCAGTAAAGCTTAGAGAGAGAGAGAGAGAAAGGGAATTTATCTTAGGAAAATGGCTCACACACTTATAGAAGCTGGCATGTCCCAAGTTCTTGGATCAAACTTCAAGCTGGAGACTTTCCCTAACTCATGCAGCTGCAGGGGCTGACAAGCTCAAGGTTGACAGCCAGTGTACTGGCTGTTGACTCCAATGAATGACGAATCCAAGGTCTCCAGGCTGAATGGTGGATTGTTCGCTCACAGAGAGTTGTAGATAGCACAACAGGATCCTGATCCACAGAAGAGTGTCTCTTTTCCTAGAATGTCCATAAATATACTAGAAGCAGGCCACACCCCTAGGGAAGCTCCCTTTCAATGGATTTGCTGCTCAAAACATAGACATTTGATTCCATCATGGGAATAATCCACATCACAATTCCTTAACCACACAGAATTGTAGTCCAGCCAAGTTGACACACAGCTCCAACTGTCACAATATCCTGTTAATAATTATTACATTTTCTGTTTTATTTTCCTCTATAGATGTGCATTTTATTTTTATATGTTGATTTTGTATTCCCTAATCTTATTTAATTCTTATTAATACTTTGTCTCTAGGTTGCTTTTTGTTTTCTACATATATAATCATATCATATGAAAATAAGACAGCTTTGTTGCTTCCTCTTGTGCTCTCTACATATTTTTCTGGCTTAATTACTCCGCCTAAGTCTTCTTGTTGTTGTTGTTGTTATGTGCCGTCGAGTCGGCCCCGACTCATAGCGACCCCTCCTTGGGTTTCCGAGGCAGTATCACTATGGAAGTAGATTGCCCAACCTTCCTTCCGAGGAGTGGCTGGTGGGTTTGAACCGCCAGCCGTCTGGTTAGCAGGTAAGTGTCTTAGCCACTATGCTACCAGAGCTCCCTAAGTCTTCTAGTACAATATTAAGTAGAAGTGGTGAGAGCTGGCATATATTTGATTTAGTCTTCATCTTCAAAGGAATGTTTTCAGTGGTTCCCCAATAACTGTGATGTCTCCTGTGTGTGTTTTTTACAGATATTTGCTGTCAGATTACAGGAGGGAAATTCTCCTATTCCTAGTTGGCCAGGAAGTTTAATTGTGACTGGGACTTCTTTTTTCTGCACCAACGTAGAGAGTCATACTCTTTTCTCTTTTAATCCGTTAATGTAGTGAATTACACAAATGAACATTTCAATTTAAATCAACCTTATATTACTAGAATAAATTCATCATGGTCATAAGGTACTCTTATATTTATTGCTCTGTTTGATTTGCCAAGAATTTGTGTACATTATTTTTGCAATTATATTAGACTGAAAAGGAATGATTTTATTTTATTTATTTATTTATTTTTTTTTACTTTTTCATTCTTTTCTTGTGTGGTTTAGGTGACAAGACTAAATGAACCTCATAAAATGGTTTTAGGAGTACTCCTACATTTTTTTATGCTGTATTTTCCTTAAATATATAGTAACATTTATTTAGTTAAAAAATGTTTCTTGGGAGGTAGACAATTTTTATTTACTGTTTTGGTAATATTATTCTCAAATTGGCTTTACTAAAATACATTTTTCAAGGAATTTGTCCTTTTGGTCCAAAATTTCAAATTACATAGTACAATGCTTTCCTAATAATATGCACATCTTTTTTTTTAACTTTGTATCACAGTTCTACGTGCACAGTTGTTCTAAAAGTTATTACATATGGCAGTTGGCCCCCATCCCATCTCCATCTCTCTTAAGTCTTTACTTCTTTTATTTGGTTATTTTGGCAATTAACCCGTGTTGAGTATCTTTTCGTGTACTTCTTGGCCACTTGCATATCTTCTGTAAAGTAGCTGTTTAGATCTTTTGCTTATTTTTAATTGACTTCTTCTTATTGTATTGGAAGAATTCTTTATGTGTTTGGGATACAAGTTCTTTGTTAGATACATTCACTGGAAATATTTTCACATAGCCTGTGGCTTTACCTTTTCATTTTCAGAAATGGTATCTTGAAATCAGAAGATGTTATTTATGATGTTCATCATTTTTTCCCCTCTCTGATAGTGCTTTTTAAATTTTTTTGTGTATATATATGTGTATATATACATGTGTGTATATATATGTGTATATATACACGTGTGTATATATATGTGTGTATATACATGTGTGTATATATGTGTGTATATATATGTGTGTATATATATATGTGTATATATATTTGTATACGTGTGTGTGTGTATATATATGTATGTATATATATGTTTGGGAGCTCTGGTAGCATAGTGGCTAAGGCACTTGACAGCTAACCAGAAGGCTGGTGGTTCAAACCCACCAGCCACTCCTCGGAAGGAAGATGGGGCAATCTACTTCCGTAGTGATACTGCCTCGGAAACCCAAGGAGGGGTCACTATGAGTCAGGTGTGACTCGACGGTACATAACAACAACAACAACAACATATATATGTTTGGTGTATGTGTATACACACAAACTCACTGCCATTGAATCATTTCCAACTCAAAGCAAACCCTCCTTGGGTTTCTGAGGCAGTATCTCTATGGAAGTAGATTGCCCAACCTTCCTTTTGAGCATCTAGAAATTCTTTACCTACCCCAATATTGTTAAGATTTTCTTCTAGAAGTTTTGTAATTTCAGGTTTTACATGATCAGTTTTGATTTTTTTTTTAATATCACTTGATGTAGGGACTGATGTTCATTTTGTTTTTCTAGGTATATATCCAAGTATTCCAGCATAATTTGTTCAAAAGACTATCCTTTCCCCCACTGAATTGCATGGGCATCTTTGTAGTGCTTATTTGTAGTATGTGGGACCTAGTTTTGAAGTATTTGTTTTTGTTCTATATGCCTACTTTTATGCCAGTACCGCTCTGTCTTGATTTATGTAGCTTTATAGTAAGGACTACATTCTGTTTTTTTTTTTTTTTTTTAAGTGCTGTCTTGCTGAATTCATTTGTAAATATTTCCTGGGTATGAGAGCAGAGAAAGATAATGTTTACATATAAACATACAACATGTATTCTGTTTTAATAATAAAGTCGGTTAATTTTGTACCGAGCTTTTATCTTGCACTCAATTTGTGATCTTTGCTTTCATTTCCCAGGACTTTTTTCAACACTTGTGTTTGTATTAAATCATGGGAAGGAAGCTGGACCTGTCTGGTCTGACCGATGATGAAACGGAGCATGTTCTCCAGGTGGTTCAGCGAGACTTCAATCTTCGCAAAAAGGAGGAAGAACGACTAAGGTGAAAATCCTCTGTGCCCAGCTGGGTGGTGTGAACCATGTGTGAATAAGTGAAATGGGCTTCCTAGGAGTTGGTCCTGGGTTAGGATGTCTTTAGGTCATGTAAACAAATTTGTACTTAGGTTTAAGAGATGAATGTCCTTCCCTTTTTAGAAAGGTTTTCCAGCATAATGCCATCCTGGAAGTGTGACTATTCACACCCCGAACTGAAGTTTTGTCAGGGCTCCTCACCTTGCAAGTTATTCGTAGCCGTAGAATGAGTGGAGTTTGTGGTTGAGATGGATATTTCAAATTTGCTTCTGGCTCTAGTTTTCTTATCAGCAGATGCTGCTAAAGAATAACCAAAGTCTTGTGTGAATAAGTAGTGGGAGAATTTAAAAAAGAAATGTAAAGTATCTCATTAATAATTTTTATACTGATTACATGTTAAACCACTAATATTTGGCATGTAGACTCTTCAGTTAGGATTCTCATTACCATGGTGCAAGAAGAGCTATGAAAAACTGCCCACCAGCTGGAGGTGGCATCACCTGGCTCAGTACTACCCCTTTTTATTTTATAGGGGAGGAAACTGAGGCCCAGAGTGGAGCCTCCTGACTCCCCTGCAGTTGATATTTCCACTGTGGAACACTCTTGGAAATACTGTTGCAGCTCTGTTAAGCAGAGATGCCGAAATTCAGAAGTCAGAATGATAGAAATGAGCTCATGCCTTGGGCCTAATACCTTAGAACCTGATAGGAAGTCATTACTAGCTCCCTACCTTTGTCCTTAAATCAGTTGTTATTTCGTAGGATTCCATAGGTTTATCCATGATGTCATCTTCCTCCTACACATTCGGCATAAAAACTCAGAAACTTGATACCTCCTCCCTTGCCTTGGCCCTGCATCCAGGGTGGTGTCAAGCCCTCTTGATTCCACCTCCTTGACATCTCTCCACACCCTCACACGAGTCCAGCTTTTATCTCAGTCATTGCACTCATCTTTTTTTTTTTTTTTTAATGATCTTCCTGCCTCTACGTTCTGTTGCTACTCTGCCAAGTAGCCTGCCCATATCTGTTTGGATGCTATATCTTAGCCCTAATCATGCCCTTGCCCACTTTGCTTAAAGGTGGCAAATCTTTTCCACCTCCAATAGTGGATTGATTTTCCTTTCCATGTTGGGATGTTAGGGCTTTCTCTTTCTTCACAGTATTATCTCCATTAGACTAAGTACTCTATTGTCTTTAGTTCTACCATTTTTTTTTTTTTTTCCTTTTCCTCACATATAGTAGATATTCAATGTGTACTTGTTTGTGGAAGACAAGAAATATGTCAAATAAAGAATTAGTTGATTTTGCTTGGTCACAGCCAGCTACCCAGAGTGAGCAAGTAGTTGAACCTATGAGCTTGGGACCATAGTTGCAGGGGACATCAAGATCAATTAGCATAACATACTATACAAAACATTGTTCCACCTCCTACTCTGGCAAGTAGCGACTGGGATCTTAAAAGCTTGCAAACTGCTATCTAGATGCAATGATGGGTCTCTCCTTGTCCAGAGCAAAGAACAATGAAGAAAAACAAAAATTCATGGAAACAATTAGTCCTAGCGACTGGTACACCATCCAATCTGCAGCCTAAATGACTATGAGACCAGAAGAACCAGATGGTTCCTGGCTACCACTGTTAACCACTTGGAAGAGGATCTATGTAAGAGATCCTGGATAGAGAGGGAGAACAATGTAGAACAAAACTCAAAATCATTTGGAGAAAAAAAAAGGTGGGGGGGGGACACCAGGTTTGCTGGTCTGATATAGCCTGGTGGAACCACTGAGACTGTGGCCCCTAGCTGCCCTTCAGGTCTGGAATTGAACCCACACTGTGGCATCTAGCCAAACAAATGACAGGCATATGAGTTGAACATTTCCCTGAGATAGATACACTCCTTAGAGAGAGCAATCACGGGAGAAAGAAGGGCTGCTTATGCACAGGGAGACAGCTCGGGGTAGGAGTGCATGGAGGGGTGGACACAAGGAAGAGGTAACTATCGGGAGGAAGTGGGAGCTGTTGCATTGCAGTAAATTGTGGTCAATGTCATGAGACAAAATGTATGTGAACTGCTGTATGGAAAATGAATTTGCTCTGTAAATTTTCACCCAAATCACAATTAAAAAAAAAAAAAGAATTAATTGATTTTAAAAACCAGATGCCAAACACTCATCTGGCTATTAGACATATCAAGGTAAGCAAACCTAGCCTTTGTCCTGTGTAGTTTATGTTGTAGAGCACTGCTGACCCAGTACCAAGCCACTCGTTAAATGTGACAGTTGAGCACTTGAAGTGTGGCCTGACCTAATGGAGATGCAACGGAAATGTAAAATGCATACCACATTTTTTTTTCAAAGTAAAGTATCTCATTAATAATTTTTATATTGATTACATGTTGAAATACTGATATTTTGGATATATGAGATGAAATAAAAATATGATTAAAATTAATTTTCCTGTTTCTTTTTACCTTTTTGAGTGTGGCCAATGGAAAATTTAGAATTGCATATGTGGTTCACATTAAATTCCTGTTGGACAGTGCTGTCTATAGTGAGGAAATAGAGAGAGAATGGTAAAATAAAAATAGATTTATATATATTAGGTGATGGCAAGAGCCATGAAGAAAAATAAAGAAGACAGAGGGGACAGAGCTCTTTTCTTGTACCGTGGTGCTGAGATTCCTCACAGAACATTCTGCATGTATGAGTCTGGCCTGCAGTGAGAAAGGTGCTGTTTTCCATATCAACTACTCCATGAGGGCTGAGATACAAGCAGAGACCAAAAGGAAGTAAAGGAAGGAACTGTTCTGCTATGCAGGGTAAAATAAATCAAGGCAGAGGGAGCAGTGAAAGTAAGTTCCTGAATCAGGAACATGCCTGTGAGTTCCCAGCAGTCCTAGAAGTGAGTGAACAGTGGGAAGCATTGTAGTAGAGTGATGTGCAAGCAATAGCCTGAGCCCAAGCCATGTAATAATACATGATAAAGCCTCTGAATCTTACAGAGATGGGAAACAAAGTGGGGGATTTTGAGCACAAGGGTGGCATGCTCTGACATTTTTTTTAGTAGGATCACTCTTGCTATTCTATGGGGCAAGTAATTACCCCCATAGAATGAGAGAATAAGAGACAAGAGAAGAAGCAGAGAAACAAGTGAGGAGGCTATTTCAGCAGTTTAGGGGGAAGACAGTGCTGTCTCAGAGCACTGGGGCCTATGGAGGTGATGAGTAGTAGATTCTAGTTATCTCTTAAAGGTGGAGTGAAGGATTTGCATTTCTGTATCTGGATATGACATGTAAGGCAGAACAGAGTTAAGGAGGATTCTGTAGCTTTTGCCTTGGGTGATGGAAAGAATGAAATTGCCATTCACTACATGGAGGAGACAGAGAAGAGCATGATTGGTGGTTGTTGGGTGAAGTTGAAAGTTATCTCTTAGATATCTTAAAATTGGGATGGTTAGTAGACATCCATCCTTGGGTAGTGCAAATGGTCAATGTGCTTGGCTTCTAACTGAGTAGCAAAGGTAAGGTTGGAGGTGGAGGTTTGAGTCTACCCAGAGATGCCTCAGAAGAAAGACCTGGTGATCTACTTTAGAAACAATAGTCATTGAAAATCTTATGGAGCACATTCTACTCTGACACACACAGGGTCACCATGAGTCAGAATCAATACAATGGCTACTGGTTTATTAGACAGCCAGGGAGAGAGCTCACAAGGGCATTTGTATATATAAGGACCTATCAGCCACTTCTCGGAAGGAAGGTTGGGCAATCCTACTTCCGTAGTGATACTGCCTCGGAAACCCAAGGAAGGGTCGCTATGAGTCGAGGCCGACTCGACGGCAAATAACAACATATATATAGGGATCTCTATATATAGGCATTTGTATATATAGAGTTCAGATGGGAGATAAACATTTTATAATGGAAAAAGTCACCTAGATGAGTGGGAGAGTAGAAACTGAGTAAAAATGCTGGGCAACACCAAGACTTACTTGAAGTTTGTGATTGCTAATTTCCATTGAGACCAGTGTCCTCATGGTCATTTGTGCTTCTCCTGAATTGTTCATCTTCTCTCCTCTACCAGACCATGGCTTCACAAGGACAAGAGCCATTCTCACTCAGTTTTGTGCCTCAAATTTCAGGCACAGGGCCTGATACATATTGGGTGTGCCCCAAATATCTATGGAATTAATGGATAAGTACAAATTGTCATTCTAAACAGTCAGCTTCATAGGTGGTTTGATGGAGCACTCTTTAACTATTTATTTTTTATTTATTTCTGAATCAGAAAGACCATCTATATATCATTCATCTCCTGGAAACTCAAATGTGAGTGTGCAGAGGCCTTGTTTTGTGGCCTCTTCTGAGGCCTTAGCTCCACTGCAGAATTAGGTGCCAGTCTGCATGGAAAAGCAGCTTTATAGTTTGGTTTGGTTTAAAGGCAGTGCTGTTGCCACCATAGTGGATTCCACAAGGTAGCCATCTTTTTGGCTTTGGATTTGGGTACTTACTGGACTACAGTCAGTGGCCTTACTGCAGTTCCTTACTGCATGGTCACCGGATCTGATTGTGTTAGGTAAAGAAAACTGCTTGACCCACTCCCTGGTCAGCCTGGGACCTACAGGACCTGCCTTGCCAACTGCACAGATAGCTCAGGGCCAGGATCTAGGAGTAAGAGAAGTTAGAATCTAGGAACCTGGCCAGATGCTTGGAAGGTAGCAACATCTTTTAAAGATGAGTGAGTTGGTAATTTGCAGGTGAGGTGTGGAAGAGAGGTCCAAGTTGGTGAAATGTGTCCGATTTCCCTCAGTACCTGAAAGAGTGGTCCTCATGCCTGGTCTGGCCTCAGGGGATGGATGCCTAAAGAAACAAATAGTCTCCACAGATCCCTGTGGGTTTTTAATGATTGGGCTGTCAACTTCTTTCTTGTGATCTGTACCATCTTGCACACTTGCTCTCCTTCTAATGGAGTGAAA